TGTATTAGACACGTATTTTTTTATTTTCTCGTATAAAGTTACAATACTTAGATGAAATGGAGTTAAGTTCAGGAGTGGGAAGGCGTTACGTCACAACGTGCTACATTTTGTAGCACGTTGTGACGTCACAACGTGCTACATTTTGTAGCACGCTGTACCGTCACACGACATTTTAAATCAATATATCGTCGAAAGCATTTAGTTTTGTGAGAAAAGAAAAAAAACGTGTCTAATTTTAAAAAAAAAATCTACCAGACAGACATTAAAATAAAATTTAGGAAACTACCCTATTACGTACGTCAAGTCGGTCATTCATTGGGGTATGTGGAGACAATAGAACGCCAAATGACACGATTCTAAATATCTTATTCTTTCACTGAAATTCTTTCTCTTCATTTATATTCATCAATCCCTCCGTTTTTTTAAATGTTTTTCATCATAATAGAGTATTTCTTTGAGGAAAATTTAGTGCTCTGGTTTCTTCACTCATACGGCGAAACACAACATACCTAATTGTTATTTCACGCCGATGTTTTTTGTTATTAATGTTATTTCGCGGTGTTTTTTTTTTGTACAGAACCAACAATTCAAGGGACGATCGTGCTTGACAGTTTTATCAGTAAAGCTGACAGGACGTTGCATCGGTTATCGTCACACACACATACAAACACCATAGTTATTATTTAAAAACAAAATAATAGATTTTTTGTTTCATTTCTGTACCTACCTACTTTATATTTTGATACTATTCAGCTATAGTTTTGACATGAACAGCTCAAAGTCAAAGTCAAAGCGTTTATTGCAACTAAGTGTACAGATGGTGGTTAGAAAATTATTACAGTGCTTAATACTTAGCGGCCTCTTACAGACATTGCAACATTTTTAGTTATGTAGGTACACATCCATTGTTATTAACATTGTAGATAGATATTACAAATCATGACGAAAAAAAAGAAAAAAAACAATAATTGTCAGGTATATGTCACATCATAGTAATAATCAATTCAATAGGTATAATTGCTGTCGAGTTTAGGATGTCAATAATAAAAATTATACAATGTCAAGGTATTTCAATGTTATGTTATGTCGAGTAGGTATATACATTTCGTTTGTATAGGGCAGATCGACGGTTCCCACATGAAATAAAATTATTTTATTTTGGACTCTAAATATTCCGTGGCAGTCTAGTGGTGGAATAATGGGCCTCCTCTACATAATCTGGACCACCCTTTGCAGGTGAGTTGGAGAGGATTTCTACTGAATGGAGAGCGCTGCTATGCTGTCTTTGTTAAATATATATTACTGGCTATTTCCGCGCGATTTTATTCAAATATTACATTTTTAATGTACAACGGTTTTATGACCTCTGTTCTACCAATCAAACCCTTTCGTTTTGATATCCATAAAAATATACGGTCATCAATATTAAGTATGTACCAAGTATCAGGGGACTTACTCTTGAATCCAATTCCGATCGATCGACATTGATATTGTGAAATTTCGTACTCTTGAGCTACAACACTAGCGCCCATTGCATCCCTAATGCGTGGATATTGAATGAACTAAATGGTATTTAGTTTGGCTTTATATTCCGTACTCTAAATGCTATTTTAACAGTTACGATTGGGGTTGTATAGTTTTGAAATTGAATAAGTATTGAGATTTTATTGGATTGAAATTGCATTGATATTGAGATGATTGGTTTCAAGAGTAAGCACCCAGATCGATCTGTCATCAGGAAGGGGGTAACATTGCAAGACAATGACTATATTTGACCCAACAAACAAATGGGAGAAGCTAAATGAAACCGTTTAATAAGTGCTTGGCAAGGCAACTAAGTGTCAAATACTATCTTGTGGGAACAATACAACGCGTTGTTTCGTTATCGGACCCATAAGACTGTTCTTTGTGTTAAATTATTATGGAACGAATGTGGTCTCGACCTCATTGAGAAACCTGTGTGAATACAGTTAAACTGTCAAACACCAAGCGGTCACCGGTGACCGCAACCTATTATTCTATAATTGTGTCTGCAAAACGGGTACTCGACGAGTTAAGTACAGTGGAGGACAAACCCGCCTGATCAGTTTCAAAATTAATCTGAGTTTGTTTCGGCATTTCTTCTCAGAGTAGTCAGGTAGGAAATGTCGACCTCATCGTTCGCTTGAAAAAATTGACGTGTAAAAGTGCTGCCTTGTAGCCTATTTGCAGAAATAAATTCACTTGTTTCACTGATCGCTTGAATCTAACAAAAACATCAAGCCAATAACATAACATTACGCCTTTTATCCCCGAAGGGTTAGGCAGAGGTGCACATTCCTGCACTTAATGCCTCTGTATAATGTAACACCCAGTTTTCACTATTTATGTTATGAGTCCCATGTAATAGGGAGTGAGCCCAGGGAGTATATTCCAGACTTCGTGCTACTATTGAGATTATTTTAAAACCCTGTAATACTTTGCCTGACCAAGGAATCGAACCCGAGACCCCTTGCCTGACAGTTAGACTTCCGAACACTCGGCCAACGAGGCAATCATAAGTCGTAAATGTCTTAACTAAATGATAAAGCGATAACTTCGCAGCTTAGTGACGCAACCCGTGAGTCAGTGGTATATTTGATGTTGTTCGGCTGCAAGCGCCGACACCGGCCCGCCCACCACCCCGCTTCATTCGTCAAACATTAACTTAGTGGTGATCAGGCAGATGTATCCCTATTGTACATAGTGAATTTTAATCCCCAAAGAAAAGGCAGAGATGCTCTGAATTATATAATACTAGCTTTTACACGCGGCTTCGCTCGCTTCACAAAAGGATAAAATGTGATATATACCAATACACACAGCGCCATCTCAATCTTTTGTTATCCCTCGGGAATATCATTTTTACGGGATAAAAAGTACCCTATTACTTAATCCGGACTTCGAACTTTACGTCTGCAAAAATTCAAAGCAATCGGTATAGTAGTTACGGCGTGAAAGCGGAACAAACAAACAAACAAACTCACTTTCCGATTTATAATATTAGTAAGGAGTAAGGAAGTAAGGATAACACCCAATTAAATTTCACCAGTTTTGTTATGAGTCCCACGTGATAGTTGGTGATCCTTTTGCAATTCCATGGGCCTTTTAAGCTCAGTGCTACTACTGAGAAATTATCTAAAACCCGAAAACTCACCAACAATACACTGCATAACTCAAGGATTGAACCCCAGAGAGAGCCCTTGCTCGGCATTCCCGCTTGCGACTTTGTACCAAAACAGCAGAGAGTTAATCTAATCTTATACTATTATACAAGGTGTTGTTTTAAAGCCGCGTCATTTTCTAGGAGGTAATTAGGCTATCGATTTTGAGTCCAAATCAATAAAAAAATTGTAGGTAAATATTTTTCATTTTTCTTTAAATTACGGAAATCCGTAAGTGAACCGAACTACATGCCGCCGTCTTAACATACACAGCCACGTATAATGTGGCTTAACACACACAAACTCAAACACGTAATTGATATTTTTAGCCGTATTTTTAACTATTGGCCTGAAACTTTCTCTTACATTGAACCTTTATGACTTCTGTGACATGCCCCCGAGAAATGACATGGCTTCAAAACTACACCTTGTATAAAGCAGAAGATATTATATAAAACGGAAGAGTCTGTTTGTTTGAACGCACTAATCTCCGTAACTACAAGTCTGATTTGAATAATTTTGGATAGTGCATTTATCGAGGATGGCTATAGGCTATAAAAAATTACGCTACGACTAATAGGAGCTGAGCAGAGCGTGTGAAACCGCGGAAGTAGCTAGTTAAATATATAAGTAAATCTATAATATACACATCAATATATACAATACAATGCTTATATTAAGTGGTGTTGTCTATTTGTTACACAAGAACAGTTTTTGGCTGAAAATTGGTTTGGAGAAAGCGTAGAACCAATAAACAGACATAGGACTTTTTATTCAATGCTTGGGTTGTGTTTCGTCCTATGAGTGAGGTTACAGGAAGCCCAATTATCCCTCTCCATCTCCTCAATCCCCAACGATCCTCAAATTCCTAATTCCCAAAACGCACTTGTAACACCTTTAGTGTATCGGGTGTCCATTAACGGCACCGATTTCTTACAATCAGATGGTCCATCTGCTCGTTTATCGGCATAATCAATAAAAAAAGATTTTCCGAAAATTCTGAAGAAACGGGAAAAAGGGATTGCGCGTATAAAGTTAAAGGCAGAAGCTAGTTCATAATATAAATTGAAACATAACTGTATGAATGTATATTAAAATGCAGATAAATACATAAATATGTATATTAATAACCAAACTCATTAATAAAACCAACTTCAAACGGTTACAATATTTATTATAAACAAATTAGAATTACAATAAAATACACGTATGATTACAACAATATATTAATACCTAAACACAAACTGGGATTATTTTATTGTTATATGGAATATGAGAAAACATAATAATACTTCTATAACCGTTCTTAAACTAAAAAATATACAGAAACATACAAAACATGTAACAGAAGTTGTTCATAATGAAAGTAAAAAATTCAAACTCCTTACCAAGTTATCAACTGCCACTTAAATTTCAGTCCTAAAATTATAAACCAAAGGCTTATTTTGCAACGTCCAATCAAATTTCTACTAGCTGAGCTGGCTCATATTTTAATATTACACATAGAAAATACTTCACATTATTAATTAGGTTAAACTACTAGAAATTTCAGCAGTCATTACAAAACAGACCCTTATATATACCCCTACAGTTAATTTTAGAAAATGCGTCAGTCTTTGCCCACTTCTTTATGTATCGCTTGTAACACATATTTCTCAAAGTAATAATTCTGTTCTCGAACTGCCTCTAAGATCTTTTGACTGGTGATCAACAACCTTTCATCAGCTATTACGTACCGACTCGCGTCAGTGAGTGATTGGCTCTCATTTGCCATACAAGGTATACCTTCTACGGTATGCGGACCCTTGCCGGCTGCCACCAACACAGTCGGCTTCACCTTTGTATACCCATTATTAAAATCCCTCAACACCTTACCCAGCCATTCACAAGTAAGATTGTTGTTATCCACATACACCCTCAAGTCAAATCTATGCCCATACCAACTGCTTAAGTCTAAAACATTCATGTCATTAGACCTCACTGAGAGAACATGAAGGTACTTCAAATCCATCAAATACTTCGAATCTAAATACCCAATCGTGTTATACGCTAGATCCAAGTGCCACAGATCTGTCAAACCTGCAAACGTACCGTACTCGAACTTTGTCAAATAATTGTGACTCAAACGAAGAGTTTTCAAGTGCCGCAATGTACTAAATGTCGATGGCGCTATGTATTGTATTTTGTTATAAGACAAATCCAAATACACGAGAGTCGCCTCCGGTAGCTTCAAACGTGATGGATCCAGTTCCCCAATTAAATTGTTGCTCAAGTCCAAAGTTTGTAGTTCCGTGTGATGACTTAGATCCACCAGAGAGGGATCCGATATATTGTTCGAATGTAAGATCAAAGTAATCAAACGCAAACCATCCCCGTAAGGTATATTGAGTCTGTACAACCCATTATTAGAGAGATCCAAAACACCGCCTTCTGGGTGGAACGTTAAGTGAACACTGTCAAGTTTCTCAATTAAATTGTGTGTCATATTGACAATTTTGAAATTATAATTACTGTTGAACGTCATGTCCGAGACGAAATCAAGTTGATTGTACGATAAATCGAGATTCTGCAAGTTTGTCATTGAAGAGAAAGTCTCGAAATATAAACGCGAAATGTAGTTGTTGCTCAAATTCAAGTATTTGATATTAGCGAGATCATTGCCGTCCACTTTGAAATCGATCACTTTATTCTTTGACAAGTCGAGAGAAATGAGTCGTATTAATGATTGGAAGGCGTTGTACTCAATATTTGATATAGAGTTTAGGGACAGGTCTAACTCAGTGTATAGGTGAACATTGTGTTTGTCCAGGTTCCTGCTGAATCTGGACGACACTTCAATGGACGAAGCGTTGGGGACACTTGTGATTAAGTTTCCTGACAAAATAATTTTACAAATAGAATGGTTAGTGAAATGGTCCCAATGTCTTGACAACATAATTGGTTTGACTTGTTCTAGTTCGTTCTTAGAAACGTCGAATGTTTCCAAATGTTTTATAATTTTGAGAGACTCCTCATCGATATTTTGTATTTGGTTCCCTCTCAAGTATAAATGTTTTAAGTATTGGAGGCAATTGACGGCACCGTTTAAGTCTTTAATTTTGTTATCGTTTAATCTTAATATTTCTAGTTTAGTTAGATTATAGAATGGTTCTTCAGTTAGATCAGAAATTTGGTTGTGGGATAGATCGAGTTCGACCAAGGAGGTCAGTTCACCGAAAGCATCGCCTGGAAGTTCCTGTATGGCGTTGAAGGCGAGAAATAGCCTTTTGAGTTGGTTTGGTTGGATTTGGAACTGGAAGAGTTCCTCGATGTCTGTAAGTTTATTATAAGACAGATTAAGTATTTCGAGATGGTTGAGATAGGAGAAGGGGTAGTCTAATATGGTCTCTATGCCATTGTTAACAAGGTTTAAGTGTTGGAGTCTGGAGGTGTACATGAGGATGGTTAGTTTGGTTTGTTGCCATCGTCCTGAGAGTTTGAGGGAGGTGATGGTGTTGAGGAAGTCTAAGTCTGTGTTATCATTAAATGCTTCTATGGCGTCGGTGACTGTGACGTCAACGGTGACCGGATCGTTGGTGGCTTCACGACATTCGTTAGGAAGTTGGACTCCTCGGATTTCACCATAACAGTGGATGTGGAAGGCGCAGTGGCTGATGTTCTTGATCCTGTCAGGTGGGCAGTGGCATGAAGATAGCACAGCACTCGACAACACCAACAACATTGTGATGCACACTGGAAAAATATTTCAATAATGTTAAATATGGTTACAGGTCAAGTTATGCATAACCAGTACAAACTGACCTTTGAATGTACGGATAGATCATACAAACCGAGGGCATGATAAAATGGTTTAGTGTAGCTTGATATGAAGCCGTGTGTACAGCAGATCAAGTACTCCTTACTATCTTTCTTTGTTGGATTAGCATCTTCATTGTTTTGGTATATAAAGAAGAAAATCCAATGGCAAAAAAATTTAAGATTGAAGTAAGACCTACTTGTTTGTACCTTACTTTAATTTCGTATGTATTTTAAGTATGTATATAGATACATTTACCTATGTATAACACAAATAAATATAGAAATAAAAAACAAGCCTAAGATCGATACCAAATATCTGTCTGAGGTCAGTCAAGTGTAAATTGATTCACAATATAATGAAACATTATCAATATTATAACGAACTAGGTACTCCGGCGCGGTCATACCCGCTCTGCTCGGCTCGTGTTGATCGTAGCATGGTGTTTTTAGCCTCTAAACGTTCTTCGATTTAATTCGGTCCAGTAGTTCCAGAGCGCGCCATAAGCGCGTTCAAACGAACAAACACTTCAGCTGTACATATTAAGTAACTATAGATTATTTGTATTTTGCCATATGGTAACAACAAAATAGAAAACATTTATCACTTCATACATTTTTTCTGTGGATATCGCAAGAGCCAATTAAGGGATTTTTTTTAAGGGGGGAAAATCATCGAATGTCTGCTCCCGCCTGAGTGAGGCGGGAGGAAGTGTCAGACTCTTACTGACTAAAAACCACCCCGTTCCTTCTCCTGCACGTCGAGCCGGAGCCCCGGTAACCTGTTAGGTTCTCCGCGACTCAATTAAGGGACTACAGCCAGTGGTGCCCAACGGTGCAATGGTGGTCGATCGCGAGAGGTTCAACGGTCGATCTTAGAGGTTAAGCGAGTTTGTACCAATTGTACCTACAAGACTTTATTTTCAAAAATGAATAAATAGAAGAAGAAAGAAAGAAAATACATTTATTTGGCCATTGGCACACGAAGACAAGGATCAAATCATTTACTGACATTCCGTTCGTTTTTGTTTCAATACATTCATTTATGTGATGAACTGCCGGACGATACCAACAGGCAATGCTACTATATACATATAAATACATGTTATTACTTCCTGACCTGACGAAATGTGTACCTCTTCAAAGATTATTAAACGTATTCTAAAATTTTAAACGTTCCATGGACTTCTACGAACATTTGTATGCTAAAATTAGCCAACTCAATGCAGCTGTTCTCGAGTTTAAGTTAAACTAACGACCCGAAATTAATTTTTTATTTATATAAGTAGATTACTAATACATACATCACGCCTTTTATCCTCGAAGGGGTAGGCAGAGGTGCACATTATGCCGCTGTACAATGTAACAACCACTTTTCACTATTTATGTTATAAGTCCCATGTAATAGGGGGTAAACCTATTGCCATATACCGGGCACAATTTCGGACTCCGTGCTACTACTGATTTTTTTTTAAAAAACCCAGTAATACTTTGCCCGATCCGGGAATCGAACCTGAAACCCTTGCCCGGCAATCACACTTGCGGCCACTCGGCCAATGAGGCAGTAGATTACTAATAGATAATAAAAAAATAGATACAAATAAAGCTGTCGATGTTAAAACCTTTAAGTTTTTCTTAAATTAACTAACGAACTGAAGGTCTCTAATAAACCTGAACCTTTGAAACAAAGATCTGCAACCCGCCTGCCAAGCGGCAAACTCCACTTATGTAGAAGAGACCCATAAGCTGAAATACGCAAATGTATATTACCACTCAATTCTAAGTCGCGTAAGTTGTTCTATCACTACATTTTTTTTATGGAATAGGTGGCACATGAGCAGCTGGATCACCTGATGGTAAGCGATCAGCGCCGCCCATGGACACCTGCAACACCAGAGGAGTCACAGATGCATTGCAGGCCTTTTAAAAAGGAGTACACTCTTTTCTTGAAGGTTTGAAGGTCGTACCGGTTCGGAAATACCGCCCACGACCGATCATTCCACAGTTTTTCTGTGTGAGGCAGAAAGGTACGTGAGAAGCGTTGTGACCTGCCAACCAACTATATGATGGGGATGCATATGCTGTCGTGAGGGTCGATGGCAAAACGGCGGCAGGTAACAGGTACACAGGTGGTACGGTTGTTTGTGCCCGCAGTTCTGAAGCATGAGCCTAAGCCACGTAGGCATCCCTTACTAGCTGTCCCGGTAACGCGAATAGTCGCGCATTCAAAAACTCCGCTTGTTCGAGCATTAACGATGATCAATGCTTTCCTGGCATCCGCACCAGAGTGTGATTTGTTCGCAGAGAGATGGAAGGATGTATGTCGTGAATGTGTAAGATTTTGTGAGAAGATGGACGGCTGATGAGTTAGTTTTAAGTAATTATAATTATTGTAATTTTTATATAATTAAGATACCTATTACATAAGTGTAAAATAGTAATTAAGTAATTTATAACGTTTAACTGTTATTATAACATGTTTTGGATTGTGCTGTAAAATTATGCTTGTCCTTTTAAATAAATAAATAAACAAATACTCTTTGTTAAATGATAGAGATGGACGATTTTTAAGTACAACTTAAAGTTGAGTAGCATTTCAGCACTCGGGCGATAGTCTAGCAGTGGAGCCACAGACTCAATACATACACGCCTGTCTCCCATGGTGGTAGGCAGAGACAATGGAACGCCAATTGCTACGATTCTTACATACCTCTTTCGCTTCATTACATTCATTCGTTTTTTCTCAGGTAGGTTTGTATCTGCACTGAGTCTTTAACTTCGGCTGTATGCCAGTATTTGAAAGGAAAATATACATACATAACTTTACGCCTATCTCCCATGGGGGTAGGCAGAGACTATGGAACGCCAATTACTTCGATTTCTATATCTACATACCTCTTTCGCTTCATCAACAGTCATCGATCTTTTCATGCATGCTCGTCGGTTAAGGCTACTTTTAATTCGGCCCTTCTTTATTATATCGCCAATCTGGTCGAGGGTGACCTCTATCGACAGCCCCATTCGTATCTGCTCTGTATACTTGTTTCGTTAGTCTACTTTCATCCATCCTTTCTATATGTTCAAATCATCTGTCACAGAGTGTCGTAATTAGAACGTTTAACCCTCATTCTGCTCACGTGAGACCCAGGGGAAGGCCAGGGGTAGTGGCACAATAAAAATGTATTCCTTAAGCTATGAAGAATAAAATTAAATGCACGTACCTTTAGTCATAATGTGTCTCGGCCTCAAAACGTCCATGATTTGATACTGAAATAAAAATTATTGATCAATAATAATATTTATAAATATAAATATAGTTGTTGTACCCTACGACTTTGTTTCCGAAGAATTTGAATTTTAGGACACAACTTTTTTTACTGTTTTGATTTTCCAACTTAAAAGTAGCCTATGTTACTCCTTAATAGATCAGCTACCTGCCAATAACAGTCTCGTCAAAATCGGTTCAGCTATTCCAGAGATTAGCAGGTACAGACAGATAGACAGACAAAAATATTAAAACATTGTAATTTTGGTATGTGTATCATGTGTATATTCATATCATCATTACATTACACCGTTTTATCCCCGAAGGGGTAGGTAGAGGTACACATTACGGCACGGTCATTAAAATTAAGAATTTATAAATCAAATATGAGATCAATTTGACGTCAACAAGGGGTTAAAATTCTACTTTTAACCCAAATAAACTAAATACGCAAGCTAAATAAAACCGCATTTAATAAAAAATATAATCAATGCTCACCTGAATATTATTAATAATTACAATTCACAAAAATGGCGACGTTGATAGATCAAAATACAAAGTCCAAATGTGTTGTTGCTTGGACGCAGCGCTCAACTATTCGACGCTTTGAGCTGAGTTCGCGATATTAGACTCCAAACCATACAAAGATTATAATTATGTAGACAGATATTTTTATTCACAATGATGCAATGTATGTAACCTTTGATTCTTAAACTTAACATCACGCTATAATATGGAAAAGGGACTTACAGAGTGGTGTATATCGCATTCTTATCTAAATAGCTGCTGTTGCCTATGGTCCTGTGGTATAAAAGAAGCCTATGTGTTATTCCAGACAATCTAACCCTGTACTAAATTTCATCGCGATCCCTTCAGCAGTTTTGACTTGAAGGAGTAACAAACAAACAAACAAACAGACATACAAACTTTCACATTTATAATACTAGTTGGCCTTTAGGACATTATTTTTTATTTATTTTTTTTATTTTACAATTTTAGGAAAACTACAGCTAGGTATAACATAAGGACAGGTTAAATTATAGATAAACGGCCAATAACAAGTTTCCGCTTATAGGTAATTAAATTACTAGTTTAAAAAGACAGCATAACGAAACAAAAAAAAACTGTTTAGAAAAACAAAAAGAAATAAAATATTATGTTTGAAAGAAACTTGAAGACATTAATTTCTTTAATCTACGTACGCTAGTGTGAAATAAATCTAAATCAATCCTCCGGCACTCTGAATCGTATGTCCGACACGCTCTTATCATGTATGAATTTTGTCTATAAACAGTGTTGGTAGTCTTTAGTCTATAAACATTAATCATCATTATGATCATCACTAAGAACCTCTAACAGTTTCCTACTGGAATATGTGCAAATGCCTTCTCTACGAAGGTTTACCATAATCTAAACTAATGGTAAAAAGGTTGAATATTTCAAAGCGCTGCTGCCTGGTCTTTGTCAACTGCGTAGTTCATCAGAATCACGACCTCAATATTTTTTTTCTACTCTACTGTAACCGTAGAAGTTTTTACCTAATCAAAGTCTTCAAACTGATTATATTCATCCCCGTAATTAACAGGGAACATGGCAGCACACTCCTCTTCTCCAGCGGCACAGTCGCGACTGACATGTAGAGGGTTCAAATCCATTAAGTGAAGCAATGGCACGTCCACCTCCATAGATAACATGAAAGCGAGCCGCATTTTATCCCTGACAGACGTAGAATTATATAAGAATAAAAAGTAAATGTTAAGTGTGGGAGAGCCATGCTTCGGCACGAATGGGCCGGCTTGACTGGAGTGATACCACGGCCTCACAGAATGCCCCGTGAGACAACACTTGCTTTGTGTTTCGTCATGTGAGTGAGGTTACTGAAGGCCCAAACACTCCCCCCCCCCAATCCCCGAATCCTCCGCAATCCTTAAATCCCCAAATCCCAAAAGGCCGCGGTAGCACTTGTACCACCTCTGGTGTTTCAGGAGTCCATGAGCGGTGCCGATTGCTTACCATCAGGTGATCGGCCTGCTCGTTTACCGGCTAATGCCACAGAAAAAAATAAATCCTAAAATCTAAAAGCCCCAATAATACGTTGACCAACCTAGAAACCGAACCCGAAATTCTTTAATCAATGGGTAAATCAGAATTACAAATTCATTTCGGCAATAGTTTGCACCAGAATCGAGAATCAAATCGTACCCATCAGTATCAGATCGGGATATCATTTGCCTAAAAATCCGATATTAACCGCTTCTACAAGGTGTTGTTTTAAAGCCGCGTCATTTTCTAGGAGGTAACTCAGTTATCGATTTTGAGTCTGAATTAATAAAAAAACTGTAGGTAAATATTTTTCATTTTTCTGAAATTACGGTATTCCGTAAGTGCGAAGTACATGCCGCCGTTTTGTAACTAGCTTTATATCGCGGCTTAACACATACAAACTCAACCACGTAATTGATATCATTCCAGATTCCATAAAACTCCAATAATAAACATTGCTGTCGCTTATTCCGAAATACTGTCCAAATTAAACGATTGATTATAGCCGTTTTTTTAACTATTGGCCCGAAATTTTCTCTTACATTTAACCTTTATGACTTTAGTGACATGCCCCCAAAAAATGACACGCTTTTAAAACTACATCTTGTATTAAAATTCAACATCTGATTCCTTAAACATCATCATATCAGATAGAAGACGTTTACTGCTGAACCTAGGCCTTCGCCAATGACTTGCAAATACGCTAGTAGGAAGCGATACTCTATGAATGAGTGAGACAGCTATATTTTATCTCCTTCTATTCATAGACATTCTTTCATAGTTTAGGGTGCTTGACCGTCAAACTATACACATAAATTATGACGCTAGTTACAAAGAAACTAATGATAAATCTCGTCTGTACTATTCCTTTTGCCTCCCTAATGATTACATCTTATTGCGCACAAGCTATGCAAAACCAGTATAACTAGTATAATATAAACTAAAGGTGACATGTTCGTAAATTTTCGACCTGATACGAACTTTAAACCTTCCTAGCGTATTCCTTTTTAAAAGGCCGGCAACGCACCTTTGACTTCTCTGGTGTTGCGGGTGTTCCTGGGCGGTGCTGATCGTTTACCATCAGGTCTATCTGCTCGTTTGCCTACTATTTCATAAAAAAAAAATTGTTAAACTGATTTTGCTCTATGTGTACTTTAATATTTGAATCAACAAAATTGTGATAGCTATTTATATCATTTGATATAATACGAGCAAAATAGGGTTGCTATATCCAATTAAACGTTAAGGTTAAATAAACTTTAATAAAAAAAAATACAAGGGTCAATTCAAACAGATGTTAAATGGAATAAACCAACGAATGTTTACTTACAAATTCAAAGAAGTGCTATCTAGTGTATCAAATTGCTTGACTGTGTATGCAATGTGAACGGAACGGTATGGCGACGAGGCCTCAAATATACCCATCTGTAAACAACACTACAGTTTAGGTACTAATGTAAACATAACATAGTCAACAGCCTACATAAACATAATATCATGCCCTTTAATATCACAAGGGGTAGACAGGTATCTAAAATGAAACACCTACTCTTTGCTAGTAGGAAGAAATTTTTGCAAACGCCCAGTCTGAGTTAACTTGCGGTCAATTTCAGAAAATTTAGAGATCCGGCGATGAAACCTGACACCTCTGTAGATGCAAAATTAGTAAAAATACTAAGTACATCCTCGGCTCACTATTATAGGCCTTTATATATAAATATATATAACATAACATCGCCTTTTTTTCCCCGAAGGGGTAGGCAGAGGTGCACATTTCGGCACTTAATGCCACTGTACAATGTAACACCCACTTTTCACTATTTATGTTATGAGTCCCATGTAATATGCCATATACCGTGCCGGGCACATTTCCAGACTCCGTGCTACTACTGAGATTTTAAAAAACTCAGTAATACTTTGCCCGACCCGGGAATCGAACCCGAGACCCCTTGCCCGACAGTCGCACTTGCGTCCACTCGGCCAACGAGGCAGTCAATAGAAATATATATAGTATATATTTATATATATAAATAGCAATAGTTAGACTTTTCAACTTTGATCCTTATGTCCTAAGATTAGGAGTCGAATTTCCAACAAAATTACCTATGTGTAACGTATTGGTTAGATCTATATTAAAATTTGCAATGTATCAATTCAACTTTGATCTTAAACTGTTCGACATAAGGGTAATTTTCATACTTACATTTATAATGGCCCGTTTAAAAGGCGCTATGGCTTCAATAGCTTTGTGTCGTTTGCTGATCTCCAATAAGGCGAGCACGTGTGGTGGTAAGAACTCTGGATTTGGAGTTACTCGTTCTAGAACTAACTGTACCAAATATGGAGTTAATGGTTAACGGCTTTTTTTATTTTTGAGGGGGGGAAAATCGTCCCATGGCTTCTCCTTGGGTTAGGCGAGAAGGAGTGTCAGACTCTTTCCTACTCCTGCTCTTGGAGCCGGAGCCCCGGTAACCTGTTAGGCCTTCCGCGGCTCCGTATCGGCATCGGCACTGTAGTGGTCTGATGGCTCTAACAGCTATTTTGATGGTCAAGTATCGGTTCGTACGACTGCTAAGCAATGAGTATCGCATCGACTCCCGGATCAAAATGTTACTTTCAGTGACTGAACGGAGTTCCGAATGTGCTACCGTATTCTTGTCACCAGATGTCACTAACAGAACAAGAGGTTAGTTTACTCCAATCACTGCAGGTGTCAAATACTGAACATCCAATGGTGTTACACTAGCTAATACCCTATTGGACGAAAATTGAGAGCAGCACACTAGCGCTATCTGTTGACCAAAAATACAGTAGCTCATTGAAACTCGTAACAACCTGATGAAAGATGTTATTTTAAACAAGACGCACTTTTGCCTACAAACAAATGAATAAATTAATCTTAGCAAGTATTGAACCCTTATACAGGTCATCCAACCACTGGATCAAGTTTACCGTAAACAAGTTACACAAATAGCAATTAATTGAATCGATTTTTCCTTTTTTCTTAGTATCGTATTATTCTATCAAATCTGTATGACAAACCTTCGGAAAGAGTACAGCCAATCCATTTGCCTTCGCGATGTCATTGGGTGGAGCATAAAACCCAGGTATGAGCAGGCCAGCCGGTGGGAAGTACTCACTCTCATCTATCACGAATTCCTCTTCCTCTTCCTCTTCTACATCATCATGGAAAGCCTAGAAAGTACCTACAGATGTAGTACCTACACTTGGGAGCAACTAATCGGAACCACTAGCGTTTTTTATCGAATCCACTGTAATTTAAAAAAAATAATTCCTTTTTTCATGGGATAAGCCAGTAAACGAGCAGACGGATCACCTAATGGTAAGCAATCAGCGTCGCCCATGGATACCCAGAGGCGTTACAAGTACGTACGGCCTTTTGAGATTAGAAATTTGAGGGCTGTTAGGGATTCAGGGATTGGATTGGGGGGGGGGGGTAATTGGGCCTCCGAGAACTTCACTTTTAAGACGAAACACAACGCAAGCGTTATTTCGCGTCGGTCTTCTGTGAGGCCGTGGTATCACCGAAACATGTCTCTCCCACTGTTAAAAGTGGACTCTTAAGACAAAATGCTTTCATTTTATAGGTAACAAAATTGACTACGTTACCGATTAATAAAATACTTCTATCAGAAAATACATATTTAACAAGAAATGAAAAATAAAACACTAGTGGCTTCGTTTCTTTGCTTGCAAGTGTATGTCACT